ATGTGTAGTCGGAAAGCAAGAGCACCACCATGGCAGCCAACAATGGTGGTTGCCACCGGTTATAGCTTTTCTGCCGCTGTGTACCACCACCGGCCACCACTAGGGTGGTTGTATGTATGTATGTTTTTGTTAGTATGTATGTGTGTGTTATTGAGATTCGAGTTGTAAAATGTAATTAGCAAACATAATAATGAAAGAAACTCAAAACCACCACCATAAGGTGGTGGCTGCCGCCGTGATCCACCATTGACCATCACTACCCGAGGTGGTAGTGGGTGGTGCCCCACTAGCAAAACCCTAATGGGCTTAAGGACTTGGTTTTGGGCCTATTGGGCTATTAATGGGTTGGAAACCCTACTTAGGGTTTAGAAAACCCTAATTTTGGATATATGGACTTTGGATCAATCAGGACCGCACTAGAACCGTTTATTAAATTAAAATATTAATTAATACCCATTTGCAATTAGCCTAAGTCCATGTGAGACTTAATGGATTAATTCCTTAATGGGTTAAGTAGTGACACTTAACCCTAATTGTTATTTTATGTGAAACCCTAATTTCACTTGCACTTTGAGTTGGGCCTTCTTATTGGGCCTTGGTTATTGGGATAATAATGGGCCATCCAAGAGCAAGCAAATGGACTTAGAGTAAATCCCATGTAAGGGGTTTGGGCCCTTTGGAAAATTTGGCCATATATGGGCCATAGTTTGGCCCTTGATGATTACGAGATTTTGGGCCATCAGAATGTCAAGTGTGGGACCAAGAATAAATGGTTGGGCCTTAAGGCAAGACCATGTAGAGGTTTGGGCCCAAATTGGAAAATTAGGCCATAGTTGAGCCTTGGTTCATTATTAGACTTTTGGGCCTTGAGCTTGAATGGGGTAAAGCAGTCTTTTACCCCAAGCATGGTGATATGGGCATATTTAGTCATAAGAATCATGCATGATCTTAATACTTTATGTTAATTTTATCTCAAATAATGAACCAAAGGTGCTTAATTAGCTTAAATATTTCATTTTCAGCAACAAAGACATGCTCGGATGGAAAAGAAGTGGAACTAGCGATTGGAGGCTTGGATCTTGGATTTTGAAGAAAGAAGGATGTTGCTGGACAGCTTGACCCCTTGTCAGTGTTTTGGCCATATCTCATGAACCATAACTCCGATTGACGAGATTCAAAATGTTCTGAAAACTAGACACAATTTCGGACAACTTTCATTTTTTGAGAAAATGCTGATTCCAAATGAAATCGACGAGTTGGTCAGACGTTTCGCAATTCTGGACGCGCTGACTTGCCGTACACGGGTTTTAAGTGACAGACTCACCGAGTAGGTCACTGGAATCGCCGAGTAGCCTCTGTTTTGTGAAAATCTATATAAAGGGACTTTCAGATCGATAACCTAGCATATAGGTGAACCCTTGGAGGCTAATTGTCGACTAATGGTGCTGCTGGAGCGTGGGAAGCTAAGGAATCAACCCTACATTCAATTTTAAGGAGAATCAAGTCAAAATCAAGTTTACTCTTACCTAATCTCTTGTTTGAACTATGTTTTTACCAATTGATTTCGTTTTGAGCTTGTTTCTGTTGCAATCATGAGCTAAAACCTTTAAACTTCTGTTTAGGGAGACAAAATTGATACTTTGGTTTGATATATGGTAGGATTGATTTAATATTGGTGATTTTGTTAATTCTAGCTTGTTTAAGAACCTTATGTGTGAATGATAACTACTTTTCTGTTAATAGGAAGATAATTAAGTTGCATGAACATATCTTAATTGCTACCTCATATAATTTATGTGACAACTTTATTATATGACTAGGATTAGCGACTGTGAAACTAGAATTAATAGAAAAATATATAAATTCATGTGTGAGCTTGTGTGATGACCATCAACAAGAGGTTAACTAAAGGACCAAATTAGTTAGCTATTACAAGTCTAAATTAACCCGAATAAATAACCTAATGAATTAAATTACATTAGACAACTGGCTACTGTTTGAGTTAGTTTGTTCTCTAAGGATTAGTGCATCGAACGTGAATCTAATTACTTGAATCGGTAGCCAATAGAAAAATTAATCTGTTGCACTATTACCATAATATCAACCATAGGATCAATTGAGTTGAACTAAACAGAAGTTCCCTTCGTTATTGAATTTAGTTGAATATTTGCTTATCTAGTTTTTAGTTAAGTAGTCTAAGTATTAGTTGGTAAGTTTCTAATCTTGCAAAACTAGAGAAACCCCCTTTCTATTACTTGTTTTATTTAGATAATATTAGCATTTATTTTAGTTGTTTACCGTTCCCTGTGTTCGATACCCTACTTGCTTGAACTATATTACTAATCGATAGGTACACTGCCTTTCGTGTGTTTATTTTGTGTCTATGTTAGTAGGATTAAACTAGTTCGTTTCACACACATCACATGGACTTATGGGTATATGTGTTAGAACCTAATTATTAATTGGGTGTTATTTTGATGATTGACAGATTCAGGAATCTGTCATCCAGTAGCTAGGGTTTTGTTAGTAGGACTTCAACAGTGTGAGGTAAGTTTTCCTCCAGTAGGAACGGGTCTAAGGCACCAATGTCGGCCCGTATATGTAGTTGCAGTATGTCGGGATAAGCCCGATACCGGGGTTAGCCCGATGCAGTTTATATGTTTCCGGACCTCGGTCTGATGCCAAGGCGATCCCGAGGAGTAGTTATGTATGCTTGATGTCTTAGTGATTCATGCATGTTTATGTTATGTGTTATATGTTCCGGGCTTCGGTCCGATGTCGGGCAAGCCCGATGCAGGATATATGATTATTTTATATGTTTATGTTTATGTTATGTTCAATTTATTTATTCTGTACATTGGTTCGATACCGGGCGGGGCCCAAGTTATTCCAGACTTCAGTCCGATGCTGAGCGGGGCCCGACGTAGTGAGCAAGGCCCAAGTTATGCCGGACTTCGGTCCGATGCCGAGCGGGGCCCGATGCAGTGGGCAAGGCCCAGTATGTGATATATGTGTTATTGTATGGTATGTGGTAGTTTGGGGGAACTCACTAAGCTTCGTGTTTACGGTTTTCAGGTACTTCGTTCTCAAATGAAATGAGCTGACTCGATCGCAGGATCGCACTATGTTTTTCGCACATGAAATCTTTGGGATTACACTCTGATATGGTTTTATGATACTATATTTGATTGATGGCACTTTGGTTTTGACATGAGATATTATTATGAATGTTTTGTATACTGTTGGTTTTAAATAATAACTTAATTAAAATGAAAATTTTAGTCTTAAATTTTTGGATGTTTCAGGGGCGGGTTATAAATGGAGCGGATCAGTGAGAATCCATACCTGACCCTTTTAATATAAGAGTTACTAGGTATGGGTCACTAGCGGGTAAACGAATCAAAAACTATGATCCAAACCCATATAATTCTTAAGGGTTTGGATCAGATTATGGTTAATACTTGCTCCATTGACAGGCCTAAACACAAGTAAATCCGATTGAATAACAACCCTAACTAAGCCACAAACCACTTGGGCCTGTTTGAGATTGTTTTTTAAAGTGAAAAGTTTTTTTTACAAAAGAACTTTTTGATTTTAACTTTTAAGAATACAAAAGTCAAAAATTAGTTTTAAAAAAAATGTTTGTCTAATATTTTTGGACTGTTGAAGATAATTTACCTTATAAGAAGACAAAAGTTACAAAAAATCCCAATTTCTTATCTTTTGAAAAACCACCAAAGTTAATTCCAAAATACTAACCAATTATTATTATTAGTAAGCTCTGGTCACCAATAACGATATGAGGATTTTGAGCTCTTGGATTTCTTCAATTTTTTATCTCAACCACATAAACTCCCTATTTACATTTTTTTTATAGTTTTTTTCTTGACAAAACTACACAATTGGTCCCCGTGGTTAGTTCAAAATTCCCACTTTGATCCAAAAAAGTTTGGACTAGTACTACAGGTCCAAACTTTTCATTTTGTTGTGAGTTTGATCCAAAAATTTTGATACATTTTATAACGATGGATTTGTCATTTATTATTTTATTTTACATTTTTCTTTTATTAAAGTAATTAGAAAACATTTAAAAATAAAACAAAAATAAAATTCTCTCGCTCTCTCTCTCTCTCTCGTCAAACCAAAACAAGATCTGAGATATGTTTCTTCGTTAGAATTTTCTCCGTAAACACTCAAGGAAAGGAAAATAGAGGGAAGATCGGATAATAGAGAAATAAGAAAATGAAATTAGAAGACGGAATCAAATCGAGGTCATCGGTTCTCGGGTTCTTCATCTAAACACACACATGGTGATCCGAAGACGAAGCGACGGAGGACAAAACCTTGAATCGCAATCCGCCTCTTTGCCTCGAGAGTCTTCAGTCACGAGCTCAGGTCTCCGATGTCCTCAGAAGAGAACGGATCTACGCCGGTGAAGTCTAAAAACTTTCTTCAGATCTATCGATCTGGAAGCCCTCTTCCTCTTCATATCTGAAAACCCATCCCACAGTGGTAGCTCGATTTTCAGGACAAAAACCCTAATCCGTATGGGAAGGGTGGCGGAGAAAAAGAGAAACTAAGAAAAATCCTAGCTTCGACCTTTATAATTTTGAAAGAAAAACCTATCGTCCTTTTTTCAAGATCTAAAGATGGTGGAAGCTTTGATGAAAGGGTTTCAACACCTTCGAACGACTCAGGCCATGTATTTGCTGCCAGATTTTTTTTTTTTTTTTTTTTTTTTTTTTTTTTTTTTTTGTCTTGATCTTTCTAGATCCATATCAGCTTCGTGTTCGTCTTTCTAGATCCATATCAGTATAGATTTTTTTGAATTTTGATTTAAGATTGTTAAGCTTATACAAATCTTTAAATAGTTCTTGTGTCTTTACAAATCTAGTTGATCTTGTGGTTTACAAGTTTGTAAATACTTCTTGTTCTTCATATCTGAAAAAATATAATGTTTTGTTCTTCATATTTTGAAAAATTATGTTTGAATTCATCAAATGGTGGTGATAGTTCATGAGGTTTCTGAAAAGAAGAGAGTGAGGAAACAGAAAGATGTAAATGTAGATAGAACGGAGGTTTTGGAGATGGTTTCCGACAAGAATGGTGGTTGTGGTGGCGATTTCTGGCAGATTGTGGTGATTTTCGGCAGGTGGCGGTGGCTTTCGGCAGCTAAGAGTGGTTTCCGGTTCAAATTTTTTTTTGTACCAAAGTGTTAACCACAGGACCATTTTTTTTTTTTCACGTTCCTTATTTCCGATCGTTCCACTATTCATGTATTCCTGCTCCTTAAACTTCAACTGCTCCCGGCTCCATCTTCTTCGTCAACCACAGAAACCGCCATATCCACCCCACGTTCTTCCTTCATCACATATCCTTCTTCATTGTGTAACTGTCCCGTCTACATAAGAGTTCAATCTCAACCTAATTGCTTCAATGGTTTCAACATTTGCTTCAAATTGCTTCAAGCTTCTCATAATCATGGACCACAAATCAACTGAGAACATTTTCCCCTTTGAATAAAAGCCATCCAATGTATGTTTTAATTTCTGTTTTCACAAATTTCTAGGTTTACTTCCACTTTGGATTGGGCTTTTCAACAACAAAACTCACTAGTTCTTCTCCATCATCTGCAGGATTTTTTTTTTTTGAATGCACTTGGAAGATCCCAGACAACGATGGCCTCTTACTTCCATATACACTTTTCTATATGTAAATCTCATTGGACGTCTACTCACTTACTCAATAAGTTTCAATTTTAGGTTTTTTATTTGTCAACTGATACTGATAATAGAGATGCTATTGAGGGAGAACGACGACTATTGTCTCATTCGAGGCCACCTGCCACTGCTACAAAAACCAAGGTTTTGACGTTCAATTTTGGATTCCGGCTTGAATTTTACCAGAAGAAAAATAGTAGATCCCGTTTGACATCTGTAAGTTTCTCAAAATCCATATTGATGCAAAATCAATTTAACGCTTTCTAAAGTCTTAATTAAAAACTTTTTAAGAAGCTTTTATGATTCATAGCAAGAAATCAGTAATCTTGATTTCTAATTTCCCCACTTTATCACAAATGTCTATAATTGAGGATGTTGATTGCATTTCCAAACGAATTCACACAAAATTAGGGTTATGGTTTTCTCTGCTTTTCACTCTATATTGGATGGCTTTAAGCTGGTAATTTTCTTTGTTGTCATTAGTTTATAATCTTGAACCAGGTTTGATTTTCTGTTTGTTTTTCGGTTTTAGCCCTAAATCAATTTGTGTTGCTTGAACTAGGTTTGTTTTGTTTTGTTTTGAATCATGTGTTTGCTAGATCAGTTTTAGCCATAAACCGATTCGTTATTACATGAAAAAAATGGTTCGTCATTTGTGACTTTTGATAGTGAATAACAAATTTAAACTGCGATTTATCGTTTGTACTTAAATCCAATAATCATCATTTGGGTTCTAATTTGTTGCTCTTTTGTGTATATGAACTTTCTTAAAGTATAGAAAAAGTGGGGGGAAGAAGTGAAGTTTGACTTTAATAATGCAATAAACGCAGAGTGACTTTAATGATGTTAAACTATACAAACTACCCTCTTTAAGTGTTTGAGGAATCTCAAATATGACATTTCATTGATTTGCATTGTTTATTGGTTTGATAGAGTATTAGAGTATGCAACTGAATCAACATATGTTTTTTTTAATGTGAATATTCATCTTCTGTCTAAACTCTTGTCATTTTTTGGGTACTTATGACTTTATAATTGGTCTTTTAAGTCCATGTATAATAACCAATATGTCCCCATCTTCTTTATTGTTTTAATCCTTTCTATTTAATTTTTTTTTATAAAATATTTATTATTGATTACAATACATACTTATTCATAACATTGATTTGTGAGTTAGTTTTTCAGTTTGTGTATATGTAGGTTTTGCAAAATTATCTTATTTGTTAGGATTTAAAAAAAACATGATATTACGATTTATGATCGATGTTATTATTTCAAGTGTATCAAAATTTATATCATGGTATGTCATGATTTTACCATTAATCACGAGTTAAATAACATTGTTAACGTTTTTGAACCGTTTGATGTATTATTTATTGATAAAGTGATATAGACTTAAGAAAAAAAAAGTCAATGTTTCTTAGTTCTTACATATTTTTGTTTCTAAATATTTTAGAATTCAAAAGTGTTTTTCAATTTCTATTATAAATAGTGTACATTGAAAAATCTGTCCAATAAAAATATAATTTTTAACCCAAAATAGCAAAATATATTTTTTAAAGAATAAGATTGTATAAACATCGGATAGATATAACACTATTTATATTGTTCCAATTAATATATGTCAAACATTGAACGTGGACCAAAAACTTCCTATTTATTTACATTGTTCAATTAAAATTAGGGGTGAACATGGTGCAGTTCGGTGCGGTTTTTGGCCAAAACCGAACCGAAAACCGCAACTTTGGTTTTTTTTTTTGGGAAAGAGGCCAAAGCCCCGGAAAAATTTTATGACATAAAAAGAAAAATACAAAAGTTTAAGTCATTTTTGGACAAACCCCAAAAGTGAACCAAAGCCAAACATCAAAAAGATACCAAAACCAAATACAAGGTTTAAACCCAATAAAATAAAAAAAACACCAATTAATTTCCTTCCATTTCCACAAAACCGGAATGGTCTTCAACTCTCCAATGATCCACATATCTTCTTTGACTTCTAATCTTCACAAATCTTCCCCTTTTGATATCCTCAATCTTCACTCCAATCAAAGCTCTCAAAAAATCTTCTTTAATATCCACGCTTGTCTTCAACTTCAAGCTCTTGTAACAAAACTTCCAAAACTCAATATACTCCAAAATAGCAATATACTTCATATCCCTTATTCTAATTTTCCCAACCATCATAAAATCCATCAAAAATAACCCAATGTATATACAAAAACCACCATTTCTCAACCTTCCTAACCTTTTAAAAAACCAAAATTTTAATCCTGTAAACCAACCCTTCTTATCATCAAGTAAATCAATGTAAACATCACTATCAATCCTAATATTAACAATCTTCTTTAAAATCTTCAAATACTTCCAATCTTCAATCAACCGCCATTGACTCAATCGATCTTCCAAAAAAATAGTCATATAATCACCATGTTTTCTCATTATCAAAGAATTTTTCACACAAATCTCATTTCTTGATTTTTTACGGATAAAATCATAAAACCCACCAACTAAATTACTTGGATTTGAACCAAGATTTTTGAACTTTTTACGGAAAAAGTTGAAAAACCATACTATAATTCCCGGATTTGAACCGGGTAAAATCATCCTTTTTTGGAAAAAAGGGGCCAACCACATGACTAAACTACTTGGAATTGAACCAAGATTTAAGTTCTTTTTACGGAAAAAGAAGAAAAACCAAACAACTAAACAATCCGGATTTGAACCGGTAAAAATCATCCTTTTTTGGAGAAAAGGGGCAAACCACTTGACTATACTACTTGGACTTGAACCAAGATTTAAATTCTTTTTATGGAAAAAGAAGGAAAACCAGCCAACTAGAAGTTCCGGGCTTGAACCGGACAAAAAGTGACATTTTGTTAACCAAAAAATGCCAAAAATATGGTGGTATAGTCTAAGGATGACGTACCCAAGCCTGGTTATTAATGGGTGAATATCCCACCACTTACTGATCGAACAAGTAGTGGCACCCACAAATGTGGAGAATCCTAAATGAATAGGATAAAAATCACAACTTATGGGGATGAGACCCATATGCAAATTTATGAAAGCCACTTCATAACAAAACATTCTTATGAAACTCGGGATCAAACCGAGATGCAAAACACTTTTAAGGGAAAAAGTGAGAAAAATCTCAAATCCATCAATCCCTTTTATATACACGCCTCGTTTCCAAGGCGGATAATCATAACAATTGGAAAACTCGAAGTGAAAAAAATAAAAGCCCACTTCATAAGGTCTTAACCAAATGAAACTCGGGATCAAACCGAGAAGCAATTCACTTTTAAGGGAAAAAGTGAGAAAAATCTCGTGCCCGTCAATTCCTTTAGAACACCCAATAATGAATAATCCAATCAACTTATGACCGATATGCCCCTGTCTCCAAATAATGAAATACCAATGCCAAAACTTGAATATGAATCTGCATTGAAGACAAAGGACCAACAAAATCCACCCAACTTCAAATATCTTGAAATTCATTATCATCAAACAAAATTGACAAAATTGCCCCCGCCTCCAAAGTTTAAAAGAATAAGAATATATCCCAATCATGACAAAGTTCCATTTATAGCCGAGACCATACCATCTCTCAGCCATCTCCCACCAATAATAAAGAGCACCAAATTTTATAAACTTCCCAATATACCCCTGCTCATTAATTCTTCCTTCCCGATGGTAACATTCTTCTAATCGCATATAATCATCCCACCAACAAAACCTGCGAACATAGGCTTGATATAAAAAAAATCCACTCCTCTTTTATGATCAAAGAAATATATGAATGTCCAAATTGCCCCTGCTTAATATCCTTCTCAATTGTAAACAGGATTCGCTGCCAATTCCGCCACCCATTCCCACCATCAATTTCCAATTTCCATCGCTGAATGCTAAAAAAATCCAGGAACAAATAAGAATAATAAATCAGAAGACATCAGCACCCATAAAGACCGACTCCAGCACTTTCTATTTTCCAACTCCCAAACACTTTTTACATCAAAATCACCATCAATTAAAAAATGCCCAATATGCCCCTGCTTCTTATTTCTTCCATCCCGATACTGAGAGTCCCCAAACCGCATGCCATCATCCCTCCCTAAGAACTTGCGATTACCGGTCTTGAATAAAAATAACCCAATCGCTTCATCATTTACCAAATTCTCGATCAGCCCCTGAACAAAAAAGAGGAACCCGCAATCTTTATTTCTCAAAACTTTCTCCCGCTAATCCTCCAAACAAGCCATAAATCCAAAAACAATAGTGCACAAGCAGTTCACAATAATTTCTTTCAATTTATTGATGTCCCAAACTTGACAAAAATACCCTTTGGCCCAATTGTTTAATATCACGCTTTTATTGAAATCCTTCCTTATTTTCTCCATAGCAGCACATCTGCCAACCATTCCTGTTTACCAGTTTGCAATTCAAATCAATCCCCATCAGACCCATTAAATTTTTTAATTGGTATGTTCCAGTGTTTACAAATCTCAGCATTCAACCCCAAATAGCCATATTTGAGACCAAATAACTTCAATCTAATATCTTCCATAATTCTATGAACCACAAATTCAATAGAATTGGTTTCTTTACCAAACAATCTTTTATTTCTTTCATTCCAAAGATGATAGACTGTAGCAGCAAGAGCACATTTCTTAATAAAATTCTCAATATTCTTCCTTTTTAGAGTAACTTGTAAATCTTCAATGATCTCAAACCAATTGCCTTCCTTATGGGTGATGTTTAAAATCCTCTTCACTTTACTCTAAACTTCCTGGGAAAAATTACATTCGAAAAAAATATGACAATGGGAATCACTTTGTTTATTGCAGAAAGCACAACTGAAATTACACACAGATTTCCATTTTTCCATTCTGTCTTGAGTTCTAAGTCTTCCAAGAATAGCCAGCCAAAGAATAAAACAGTGATTTGGAATTCTCTGTTGAAACCACACAAGATCATACCAGCCAACTTTCATCTCATGAACAATAAGGGTTTTGGAAACTTGATTCACAGCAAAAGGAACAGGTTCTCCTCTCTTATTTAGCCAAAAAACAGAATCCTTCTTTTCCCTAACAAGTCTAGGGATAGGAAACTCTGCAAGCTGTGGTATACATCTAATCCAATCAATTGGCCAACTCCAATCTTCATTAGAAATCACATCTCTAACTTTATCCGTAATATGATAACCAGCATTAGTTATTTCCCTATGAGTCAAAACTTAACTCAAGGGCCCTAATTGATGCCAATTGTCATACCACATGAAAGTATCTTCTCCATTACCAATCTGAGAATAAAAGAAATTCCGCAAAAAAGGTCTAATCTTCAATAGATTCCTCCAACTCCAACTCATTTTATCTTTTGATCCCACATCCCAAAAACTTCTACCTTCAAGAAGATAAAACTTAACCCATTTCACCCACAGAGAGTCTTGCCCACTAATAATCTTCCAGACTCTACTCGAAAGAAGAGCAATGTTCCAGTCTTTGAGATTTTTCAGCCCAAGACCACCATACATCTTTGGCTTGCATATTTTATTCCATGAGACCTTGGCAACTCCCTTACTACTTTGCCCACTGCTCCAGAGGAAATTCCTCATGATTTTTTCAACTTCTTTAATTATGCCTTTCGGTAATAAAACCACTGGAGCCCAGTAAACAGGAAGAGTTGCAAGAACAGCACTAACCAATTGAAGTCTTCCAGCATAAGACAGGGAATTATTTTTCCAATCATTGACTCTCTTCTTTACTTTATCTATAAGACCCTTGCAATCTCTATTAAAAAGTTT